TCGACTCGTTCAAAACGAAAATACGAACAGTTGGAGAATTTATCCAGACCTGTATTAAAGCTAGCTAAACCTGGAGATGTCATTGTCGATTTCTGCAGTGGAAGTGGACACTTAGGGATCCTAATTGCGTATTTGAGGAAGGATTGCACTGTTATTTTACTGGAGAATAAGGAAGAGTCACTCAACAGATCGAAATTGAGGGTGAAGAAACTGAAACTGGATAATGTGAGATTTTATCAATGCAATCTTGATTATTTCAAAGGAAAATTCGATATTGGAATGTCTCTTCATGCTTGTGGCGTTGCAACTGATTTGGTTATTCAACATTGCATTAAGAGAGATGCAATATTTGTTTCTTGTCCCTGTTGTTACGGATCTGTTCAGAATTGTCATCATATTTCATATCCAAGGAGCAATTTCTTTAAGAGTGTAATTATGGTGAGGGATTATTTGATTATTGGACATGCCGCTGATCAAACACATGATGAAAAAAATGTTAAAACCAAACAGGGATATCATTGCATGAGCATTATCGATGCTGATAGGAAGTTGCAAGCTGAGGAATGTGGGTACACGGTTTTTATAAGCAAACTTGTGCCTGAAAATTGTACACCGAAGAATAATTTATTAGTGGGTATTCCGGGTGATAGTTTTGTAAATAATTGTATTGTTAGTGTCCTTGAAAATGTCAACTTAACTTCAAGTCCTGAATGATTCAAAAGTACGAAGAAATATTAGGGGTCGGGTATTTGAATTGATTTTTACACTGAACTGTATATAAATAGGATTCAATCGTGTTGAGTTTTGTAAGTTTGATGATAATAAATTCGTTGGCTGCAAGAGAATTTTAACTGTGCGGGAAAATGATGAATTATGATGAATTATTATTTATATAAAAGGTTTTAATTTTGAGGAGTATAAGAAAAGTTGACACATTAATTGAAAAAGAACTAAATTAAACAGAAAAACAATTTCTAGATTGTACATGGAGTTCTTATTAATAGATATTCATTGATTTTCCAAATTTTTCTAGATTCATTCGTTCATCTTCATTCTAAACGCGAAAAATAAAACAGTAATTTTGTCGTTGAAATTTTGTAAAACAAAACGGTTGAATT